TAAATGCTGATAATGATAGATTAGCATCTCACCTAATCTTGGCTGACAATATCATCCCATATTGGGTGCTAGAGGCTTTGCATGATTCATGAGTGGTATTTGTCTGATAGAAATATGCTGTTTTAACCTCTGTCTCTTTAAGTTCCACGAGACCCCACCCATCTGTTCTAATATTACGTAAACAAGGAAAATAATATTTTTTAAACCTATGTTAATGAGATAATTACTTAATAAAATTAAAACCTACTATTTTAGCTTGAGCTAGGAATTAACTAGCTTAGCTTAGCATACAAACTGAAAGGAATAGAAACTTGAGGTTTGGTAATTTGGTAAATATTTTTAACTTTTTTTTTCTTTCTACAAAAAAGGTACATGTGTAAATTTGTAGGTAGTTGGAAGCCATATTTTTAAATATATAAAGGCTAGCAGTTTCTCCGTGCTCCCAGTATTTAGGCTAAGCTGTGATAATTGCTACATGACGCTAGCTACAAACTGGAACTTTTGTAGCTAGGGTCCACGGCCTTCTTTATTATTTGGATATTTTAAGGGTTTTTAAAAAAAAAAAAAAAAGTAAATTTTTTCAGTTATTTACTGCTTTCAATATGTTATAGGTCAAAGAAAATATCTGTAATGCAGTGTGTTCTTGTTAAAGGCTGACGTACAGGAGATCAGCGGTGAAGCCTACATTGTGTTTGGGATCATTCTGTTCTTCTGGGAGTTACTGCCTACCAGCTTAGTGGTGGTTTTCTTTAGAGTCCAGAGACCCAACCAAAACCTGGTAAACTAAGAAGTTAAAAATACTGTCTCATGTGAACTTTTTCAAAAGTTGTAAATTTGAGACAAAACTTAAATATGTCTGCATCTCTCAGGCTCCAGGAGGCATGATCAACAGCCATAGTTTCAGCTCCAGGGCTTATTTCTTTGACAATCCCCGGCGGTACGACAGCGATGACGACCTGTCCAGAAGCATCAATAACAGGACTGATCGGGCCAGGTGGGCATGAACATTTGAAGTTAAAAAACACCATTTTTAAATCATGTTAAGCTCGTCATTTAAAAAATGTGTTCTGTCCCATCCTCAGTCTCTTGTCCACCACACCCCAACCAGGAGCATCTAGTTGGTATGGCTCCATCCAATGTAATGCACCTTTAGCAGCAGGGGTGTCATCTGCCCAGCAGCCACCATCTTCCACTGCGCCGCTCCTTTTTGCCTATGGAAACATCCAGAGTCACCATCACCACCATCACAACTACTACTCCACCCCCCAGAACAACTACCACCATCACCATCACAGTAACTATTATTCTACGCCACAGAATTATCACTGCGGATCACAGACATATTTCACCACCCCACAGAATTAAGCTGGAGTGGTCATAAAGATTAAAAAAAGAAAAGGGGGGAAAAAAAGAAAGAAGAGGGACTAATTACTTAAAATGTTGTTTTGTTTTGTTTTTTTTCCCCCTTGTCTGCATTCTGCTTAACAAACAGCGTCATAGCTTGTACTTGTACAAAAAAATTTCTCTGGACCAAATTGTGCATCATAATTGGTTCGCCAAATAATTTTGGAGAAATGTGGGGGTATAAGGTTGGCACACCATGACTACTTGCTTTTTGAAAGCCATCTTTAAACAGGAACCATGGAACAATTTGCAGCACTAGTGGCTAATATGCCTACAAATGAAGATGCTTTTTTGCTGTTTAATATTTTGGTCAATAACTTTTTGAGATTGGAACCAATCATCAACTGGAAAAATCATCACCCTTTCCTGGTAAATTCCACTCAGACACTATTCATTTTGGCATATGTACGATAATCAAGCAGGTATGTAAGCTAAAGTGGCTAATCATGAATCTGCAACAGTATGACAGTGACGAGTTCGGACGTCTTGTCAAATTATTGTTTGGATCATGTGACGGTTTTTGCAATAGAATCGTAAAAATGCAATTATTTTAATTGGCAGTAGGCTAAGTTGGGAAAGGGCACAGCACTGCAGGTGGGCTTTTTCAAAAGAAGAACCTCTATGTTCTCCAATTCAGTATTCAGTTATCGCACATTAACACCTCTTTGCACTTTTCTGAAAGTGAAATATTTCTTAAGCGTTATTAAATAAATGGCTACGCAAACACAACAAGAGTCATCAGCTGTAGCCATAGCTAAAACCTTTTGACAAGCTAGCTGCAGGAGAGAACGGTGTGGCTAGCAGCTAACAAGGAAAAAAATATTTTGTGTGCCTGCCACTGTGTACTGATGTAGTTACATTTAAAAAAAAAAAAGAAAGAAAGATGAAGCTAATAAAAAGTTTAATTATCATTCCTTGTTTTATTTGCCACGCAGATGGTTCACCTGAATGCAAAAACAGCCTAATCAAATTAAACTGGCCAGTGCTATTTGGCTAATGGACTATGAACAGAAACCAGAAATCTTGTAAGCCTACACATTCCTACATATGCATATGCATACTTTTTTTTTTTTTTTTGCAGAGATTTGTTCCCACAATTGAGATCTGGGAATGGTTTTTCACAATCCTCTTATGCTATAGAGAATGTTCTTGGGAAAGTTCAACCCTTTGTCATAATACCATTATAAGCTAGGCCATTAAAATCTAACCCTTTAAACATAGGAGTAACTCTTCACTATGAAAACTAAATTATGTACTTTTGCAAAAGACTCTTAAGATCTAGTTTTGACAGGAATTAGCGTTTGCTAATTTGCCAGTGACTGTTGATTCAGCGAGTGCTAGGTCATACCGAGTGCTGACACTTTTGTTAATCTGTTTAGCAAGAAAATTAGCAGAGACCAAGAAAATGCAGGAAGCTAATGATTCCTTAGCTTCATGTGTTTTCATAACCAAGTCCTTCACCAAACAGATTGGTAGGAATCTGTTTTTAAAGGCAAATTTATTACTTTTGTTAAAATGTTTCCGTTAAATTGTACCACACAAACAGAAAGGTGTACAAAAACTATCAAAACCTTGCTACTTTAAGCTGCTGAACCACTTCTTTACTGGCACGTAATGTTGGTTGGGTCAAATAAGTTTACAGTTTTCAAAACTTGCAAAATACTGTTACATTTAAAGGTACTTTTTGTCATTACCCTCTGAAAAGTTAAATCAGCACTTTCACCACCAGGAGGCAGCATTTTAACAACAGGTGTACTGAATTAGGTTCACATTTCTGTTTAGCCACACCCTTGAGTCCTCAAGAGGCATCTAGATTGCCATTAAAACGAATGCATACTTAATGACTTGGCTGATTGACTCAGAGCGCCCTCTTATGTTTGACATTGGTATTACAAAATATGGGCTAGTTCAACTTGGCTGATATTACTTCAACACAAGTCACATATGTTGTGGACATGAAGTCATAGATTGATTCTTTAACTTGTAATAGGCCCTTTTTTTTTTCTTTTTTTTTTTTAACGAGTTATATGTCCACGAAAAAAACCCCAAAACAGTCAGATTTTTGTATGGGTATCAATCTCAACAGAATCAGCCCAGTTGAGGAAGACTGTTTAACAGATTATTGCCCGAGCCAGACTTCAACAAAATCTGCTTGGCTGATGTTGATGAAACTGCTGATGTTAGATATAAATATTTAACAGCTACATCCAGGCAACCTTGGACAAAATCATAAAATGGAAATTTGTGAAAATGTAAGACTGGAGCAAAAATTCTATCACATATTCTTATGTGAGATAGTGAATACACTGTCAAGAATTAAAATATATCATAGCTTCATCTCAATCACAATCTCACATCATACATAGGAGATTATATCATCAATATGTGGCCTACATCCAATATTGGACTATAACTTGGCCCTTACTGTTCGTTTGGAAGGGAAAGGTTCGGTGAAACGTGACCAAAAACTTTTATGGTACCTAATTCTGCGAGCTGTGAGGCGACGATTTGCACTTAGAAAAGAAGTTCACCTTCAATTTAAAAAAAAAAAAAAAAAAAAAAAAGCTTTTCAGGGCCTGAATGTAGGTTTTTCTTCTCAAACCTTGTATTTTCTTCAGTAATCATCTTTATTCTGTATTTTACTATTTATCCTTTTGGAAAGGAAAACATCAATGTGCCATCACATGTCGTCATATCTAATAGTTTCATTCCTTAAGGAAAATATTTTTGCACAAAAGAAAAGGTTGAATGATGTTGTTAATTGTGTCTGGCTATGTAATTTCTAATTCGTGTGTGAAGTAATTTGAGTCTGTGTGTGATCTTATGCTTTTCTACATTACTGTTTATTCTACATTAATTTTTACTGTCTAACAGATTATGCAGTTAATTTTTTTGCCCCATTGTTCTTCATGTTTCAAATGTTCCAAATCTCATAACAGACTGCAGCCTGTAAGCTTCACTTTTAATGGAACCTCTTTGCTTTATGACCCAGGTCACAAATCAGAATCCCTCAATCTCTTCTGACTGAAAGAAAAAATGTTTCCACATGGTTTTGGAACACTTCAACAGACTTGTAAATGACCATGCAAACTTCATACCACCAAACGGGGGGTGGAAGCAAGAAAGTGTCTATGTTTGGTTCACTTTTGTGGAACAAATTAGCAATAAAATCATTTCAATTGCATTTCATGCTTTCCGTCACTTCTTCAGCAGGTTATACTGGATATTCTGAAACACAATGAAAGAAATGAAGTTCTCATTTTTCTTTTTGGCCCAGCTGTTCATCTGCAGTGGAGAATGCATGTTTCTGAAACGGTGCACAACAACTCAGTTTCCTATTTTCGTTTGAAGCTAGTAATACTTGTGTAAAAATGGTGTTTGCTCTTCCTGCTACAAAAAAGCAGTGATAACTGTTTCATGTTATGAATTGTTTCATCTGTGGCCATAATGAATGTAACCTACTGTGCAAGAGATCACTAATGATGTATGCAGGAAAAACACTACCATGTTTGAATAAAGGCCTACTACACTGTTTTTATGATGGAAATCGTTCATGTATAGAAAGTCCTCATTATGTTTGCTAACATGGATCTGACCAGTTCTGACTTCGCCTACGAGTACACACAGCAGATCATGAGGCTGAATTGACCAGCTAACAAGATTATGGAAATGATCCGAACTGAAGGTGAGATGCTAGCTATTCCTCAGAGAGCTGCAAGATGTAGCACCAGAAAACATATTTATTCAGCAGTTGACAAAGTGTTAATTTAAAAAACAAAAACAAAGGGGAAATCTTCCAAAACAGCTTTGATTTCTGATTAGATTTAAGTCTCATTTTCCCTGGAATATGTAATTTCTTTTCATGTTGTGCACACAAAAAATAACAGCACATTTTGGCTCATTTAGCAAATGTCCATTTTTTATTTATTTTTAAACTGATTTGCGATGATAATTGCAAAATGCAAGTTCAAAGTACACATCCTCGTGGCTCAGACTTAAATTTGGTTCCTGAATTTACTTATGCAAAACAGACTGCAAATATAACATGGGCATAGTCAGTGTTACATCACCTATTGGTTACTGAAGTCTCATTGTTTAACCCAGTGTATTTTCACTCAGCTGCCTTAACCTCCTAAGACCCGAACTCTTCCACAGCATACATTTTTAATTTCTTTGATATTTGGGCCCGATGAATGTAAAAACAAAGAATTACCAGATTTTTACATTTTTACTCATTGATTAGTGTGTAATTATGTCTCCCAACAAACTAATGCATTCTCATAAACTTAGGATTAATCAATTAAAAAGACACAGGAGTGAGCACAGATTTATCAAAGTTGCCATGCTGCCCCACCATCTGGAATAAAGGAACCAACATGGACATCGCTGTTCCACCTGACTGCGTTTTAAGTATGTCACTGGAGAACAGCCATATATGTAGTTCACCTTGTAAGTTATTCTTAATTTAAAGATCACAAATTGTAGGGTCTACCTTACAGTATAAAGCACCTTGAGGCGACTGTTGTTGTGATTTGTCGCTGTATATAATTAAAATTGAATTGAATTATAAACTAAGATTATGCCAGCAACCAGTTCAAAACTAGGGTTATGCAAGAAAACAGAATTTAGTTGACTGCTATCTACTGACATCTAGTGGTGAGATTTTACACACTGTATTTCTAAAGGCACTTTTCCATTAGTACCTACTTAGATGGACTTGCCACGACTCAACTGGTTTTGCATTACAACCCAGTGTGCGTGCTTGTTGTTGTAGAAATGCGTCTGGGCGTCCATAATGTAATTAATACGTAACATGAATGCTATAACAAAGGTGGGTGGGGTGGAAGCTCTGGCCATCTTTTATATGCAGCCTGAAAAATCTCATCCAAAACAGGGTGTTTTCTTTTAGTAAAACATTGTGAGATACCATTAATGGGTTTTAATGACTTAAAGTATTAAAAAATAAGGCAGACAGTCAAAGATGCATTTCCAGTGTTCCCAAGTTCCGACATTTTCATAAATGGATCGATTAAAAACGAAGCTAGGGGGGCAAAAACCCCACTCAGATTACACCTTTAACAACAACAACAAAAAAAAAAACCATAAAAAACCCCCAAAACCCTAATGATTCTTCTTGGTAATTGCAAGAATACTATTTTGGTTTCTTGCTGCAAAGAGATTAAACATTGGGCTTAAGCCAAGCTGCCAATGTGCTTGGCAGCATTCAGTGACAGACCTCCCTTTATTAAATCAAACACAGATGGAAGATTTAAAATTACAAACAGCATAAAAAACACCATATTATTAAAAACATACAAGGCATCTTGATCATTAGGTGCTGGAGTCAAAACAGATCCAAAGCTGAAATGAATCAACATTACCCCCAGTGTGCAAAAGCAACATATACACACACTGAGAGGCAGATGTATGAAAGCATTGGTACAAACACACAGGTTTGCAGTTAGAAATATCCAGGAGAATGCAATGATATAATTACAAGAAGACATATGCTGGATTAAACCTCTTTAGTAAATTAATAGAACCAAATGCTGCAGCTTTTACCCCATCCAGTGTTAACTGATCTGCAAAGCACCATGCAAATGCCAAAGCAAACAGATAAGTGCACCTCCGCACCTCAACAGTCATCAAGTTGTCACGTTTAACACAGAGAAACAGGTTGTTAAGTAAGACTTGCACTAATATTGTGCAAGATTAATTACTTTCCATCAGGATATATTTTGGATTTATTCAGCGGCACATACTTGCAGTACTGCTCAGATTCACACTTGTGAAGCATGATGCTGTGAATGGGCTGTATTGCTGCCACCTTTGAGAACTGTAATCATTATGCAGTATGTTGCTTGACTAAGTTTAACAAAGGCTAATAAACTCTTTGTGAACTGGCTGAAGGGCTAATGGAGACCAAATGTATGGCTACATGAAATGACTGTGTAAGGCATATATTTTCCCAGTGTGGCACTTGGTGAATCTGAACGTACTCTAAACAAGCAAGTGGGGTTATGTAACATGTGATGTGCTGGAGAGGAGCTGACAAGACATGGTTAGCTTACCTAGCAGTTAGTCATGATGCTACGGTGCATAAACTGCCCATTATGGTTGCTGTATTGGTAGTGTTATGCGCAAACTGTGGCGCGACCACAGCCCTGTCACTGTGTATACTAGATGGGTGTGCACTGCTGTGTGCACTGCTGTTTGTGAGGGCAACTATGGTAGGTGTGATGGGTCCTTACCATTAACCATGTAATGCCACGTCACCGCGGGGTTATTAAGTGAGTGAGCAGCAGCATCTGTAAATGAGTCATTTTGCAAATGCCCAGAATGAGGCTGCGCACTGATTGACCTATTGAGGAAAAAAACTTTTTTCACAGCACAGCTGTTGTCTTTTTAACTGCTATTATAAAAATCTGGATTCTTAAAATGCAACACCCAACCCCATCCTCCACACGTTTCATTAAAATCTACTCATTTACTTTCAATTAAAAAATCTATATTTTCAGTCTTTAGCAATAAAAATGTAAATTAAAAAAAAAAGTTTTTTCAAGGAATGTCAAAACCAATGACGTTCTCCGCTTTCATCTCGAGATCTAAAGTCTTGCTGAGTTGTTCTCTGGGTTGAGTTTGAAATCTTCTGCGAGCGGGTGGGTTAGAGTTCAAAGTTCATCGTCATCGCTGGTCTCCCAAGATGCACGATTTGGAGATCTCCGAGGAAGGAGTTTGTGCTTCTGTCAGGAATCCTCTCCGCCTTCCTGGTTGATCACATGCTGGTATCCCCGGCTGTTTATTGGATCCTTGTGCCGACAAAGAACGCCGACGAGGATGACAATGAGGACGAGGAGCACACATCCGGTCACAGCCAGGCTGGTGATGACCACTGCAAATATGAAGAAGAATGCAAAAATGGTGCAAAACTGTTTTAGTCTATATTTTTTTAAATGTTTACAGTCAAGTGTGTCATGTTTTATTATGTGTGAAGTGCTCACGTTTATCTGTGTGTTTTGAAGGGAGCTGACACTCTTTGTCTCTGTCGTCTGAGATGAAGACCTTTGTAATCGTTACAAACTCATCCAGGGGGCAGTCAAGGGAGCAGCCCGGTAACTGAAGCGGGTACGGGTGCACGTTGGTGTCGTTCCGGTAAAACATGGACACTGAAGCAGAGCTGCGTGGACACGAGACAGAGACTTTTACAATTCAAAGTCCCATCATCCCACTTAAATCTACTGTTATCAACTCAATGGAGTCTGTTTGACTGTGATGCTTGCGTGTGTGTTTACCCGTTGTCTTCCCTGTAGAGCTCAATCATGAGACAGGAGGCATATGGCGGCTGTATTCCATTAAATACGCTCAAGCTGGCCAGCAGAGCGGCTACAGTGGTGTCATGCTGTGAGGCACACAGACACACGCATATAAAGAATAGTATAGGACAGCTTAAGCTAGCTTATTTAGCTTAGCAAAAACCAGAAACAGGGAGACTGCTAACATGGCTCAGTCAAAAAACAAAACAATCTTTTACCAACAATTCAAAAAGTTACTGATAAGTCTTCAAACTAGCTCACCGCTGAGAGCATCATCATTTTCAGCTGCTGTTTTGGGTCTGGAACGGCCATCTTGGAAAGATTCTTCACAATTTCACCCAGCAGCATCCCTGAAAGACAGACAGCAGATACAATTATCCCTTTAATCCTGTAGCCATGAATGACAGCTCGAATCATTTTAATACTGTTAATAAATCTCCTGAAAAAACAAACCAGCATTTGCAATTATTGCTCTTTCTAGTGAGTGCTGTGTGCATTTCTTCTTCAGTCACCTTTCTCACTCACTATGTGAAAATAGACGCTCTGCATTGAATCATCTCTTTTATTAAAT